AAACAAAAAAAAAGAGGGAAGAAGAGGAAGAGAGAGAGGGAAAAAAGAGGAGAAAGCAGACTCAGAAACAGAAGAAGCACTTCCCCAGTCTAGGAAAATCTGAGTCTACACTTAGGAAATTTTCTCCCAAATAAAGGAAAAATAAATAAGGATTTAGGGAATAAAAATGACAGTTAAGTTGGGCTTGCTAAGGAAGGGAGAAGTGAAAGACAGTTCACTAGGCTCTGGAGAAACATATGAAAGTGCAGCTGTTAACAGTGTGAGAATAATGAACAGAAAGTAAGAAGCCAGGCTTTACAGTACTTTGTAAACCTTGCAGGATCCTAAATTCTTACACATGCACATGAGCAGTGGTCACTTTAAAAAACTTAAAGTCACTTCAGTAACAGTGCAGAGAAAACTAGAGATGAAACTAAGGAACTGAAGATTTAGATATTAACTTTAAAAGGTAGTTCAGAGATAAAATACTGGTTTCCATTGGCTAAGCAGTGAAGAGTGTTGATGCATAGCGGGTAGAAGGGCCAACTCTGGAGAGAACTGGGAGGTCTATTTAGATTCAATATGTACAATTCTGAACATGGAGGTGATGTCCAATGAATATTTATTGAATGAAACTAATTTCTTATAAAGTAATATATCCTAGCTGAGAACATAAGGTGTGTAGTGATATTAATGGACACATACCATTGCAGTAATTATTTTATTAAAAATTAATATAAATGATTTTTATATTAGGCAATTTTCAGTTTCTCTTCAAATTTAGAAAATAAGCTTCCCAAAGAATTCCTAGTTATAACTTGAGGAAGCATGATTTCAAAGCATAATATCCTACACATATAGAAAATTCTAAGAAGATTATCTACAGATTATTTTATTTCACTCATATGACTGTCCTTCATATACATTAGAAATCAGAAGAATAGAAGACTATATATCAGGCAAATATGATAAAATCCTTTTGATGACACTTAAATAATTCATAGTTGTTGGTCATAAAACAGTTTATATGACATATTCTTTTAGAAAATATGGCAAAATCAGAAATTGCAGAAAGAACAAACTTAAAAAAATATGTGGATTGGAATTCCAAGACATATGTACGATCATTTTAAATCCTGAACTTTAAAGCTTGCCTTATAACCTAGTAATGTTTATATATAGTATCTCTGTGACTACCATGAAGTGTTTACTATGACATGCAAAGATTTTATTCAATCATTAATATTTACATAATGAGAAATGACCAACCAGGGCATGGGAGAGTCAGATTGTAGAAGCAAAGTGAGGAGGTGCTAGAATCAGGAACTGAACTCAGATTCTCGCTTCTATATTTGTATATTTTTTATCTTTTCTCACTTCTGTGAATAGCAACTATTGAAATGTAATTGCTATCACTTACACTACTTAAAAAAAAAAAACTACATGATAGAATTTTTATTTTTGAATCCACAGAGTGAACAACTTTCTTTCTACATCATTATTTTCAGGTGCATATACTAGAGTAGTAAATATTGCTACTTCAGAAATTAAGAAAGGTGGATCTTCATCCATCTGGAAAGATTGGAACCTGAGTCCTTGGTTACACAGAGACAAGGACATTCTAAGAGCTTTGTGAAAACCAGAAAATCTTTTTTTTTAAAAAAAGAAACAAAATAAGAGAGCGCTCTAAGAGGCTAGAAAGCCTCCAAACTGTAGTTAAGGTTCTCTAACATATATTAATTCTCTTAATCCTTTCACTTTAAAGAGAAAACAGTGCACTGTCCCTTGGTTACATTTTGTCCAATATTTAGCTTGGGGGTGACATTTTAGTTCTAATATACAAATCATCATCTCTTGAGAAAAACTTGGACTTCATTTTTGTTGCTTTCTTATAATATCCTAAAATTCCATCCACTTTATTGTCTTAGTAATACTAAGGTAATAATCTGTGGTGATTGATCTTGCTCATAGATTTACTGTTGTTGCTATAATTTAGTTTTACTCCAGTTCTCTCTCTCTCTCTCTAAAAAAAAAGTGTGTGTTGTTCAATGGATGTGGAAAAGAAAACAGGGAATGGTTTGTCAGTCAATGTGCACAGGAGCTCAATGAATAAAAGCATCATTGTCTTTGGAAATGGGATTAGAAAATGAGTCCTCTAATTGCCTGTGTTTTTACAGCATCAAGAACTCATCCTAAAAGCTAGAGATCTTCGTATCTCTTACGGGTTGAACTAAAAAAACTACAATAGTTTACAAGAGCATTTCAGCACAATCAGACAACAGCAAGAACTTGTTAAATTAGGGAAAATATGATTGCCATTCCTTCATAAATCAATGCTTCTAAATAAGATAGAAAAAGATGTGACTCTGTATATGAACAATTTATAATTATTTAAAGAATAAAATAATCCTAGATATAAACAGCCCACACTTTAACAATCTTTGTTGGATTGTAGAGGTCCAAAGAAAGATGGACTTCTCTGATTTCGCTGCTAACCTGTATTTTTAAGGTACTGTACCCAGTCTAGTATATTGGTAGAATTTGAGGAGCCAAAATATGAAGTTGAAATTAAAATATTTTTAAAAATTTAAAAATATATCTAAAGAAAAATCTACAATTCCTGTCTCCTGTAAGTTTTTATGTTTTTTTTTCTGATTTCAACATTAAGAATTCAGCATGTGATACAATCAGCAACATAAGGTAATTATTAGCTCAGTAATTATCTCTGTACATTTGTTATTGTAACCAGTGTACTTTCCAGAAGTTTTCAGGTCTAAAGGAAGTCTGTATTGTTTGAAATAGAGTTTGCTCTATGTTGATTTCTTCATGTGCTAGAGGCACCCTTGTGTGAAAGTCACAAAAATAAAAGTTGGAAAATAGGAGCAAAGTCAGTGGCAAGGAAGAGTGAAGATGTGTGTGGCTAACACAGTGATTTTTATCTTCTAGAGCACTCATATATCTTGTTACAAACTGTATTCAAATAATTGCTTACAGTTTGTAACAAGATATATGAGTGTTCTAGAAGATAAAAATAAAATTCAAATTCTTAAATCCACAGGGTGCAGAAATAAGTCATTTGTAATTGCCAAATCACTGTTAGACACAGGCTCAGCTATAGAAGGTCCTTTTGTATAGAAATAATTTAGATGTATTACCCATTAAATACTTTATACTGTCAACATACATCTAGCCACTTCTACAAGTGATGTTTGTAAGAAAATATATAAAATTAAAGAATAATTTTATAACAAAACACTCTTAATATTCCCACATAATAAGGAAAAATTGATAATTGTAGTTGTTGTAGCCACAGTGCATATTAAATTAAATGTTTAAGTGATATATAATTAATAAATCGCACTAAATTGTAATGATTTTAATTAAACATAAAATATCTAATATCTATATTGACAATGAGATAAATAATTTCAGTTCAAAAATAATTAAGAATCTTAAATAATATGTAGTTAAGTAAATGAAACCTAATTATTATTTGGAAATTTTATTTTCTTTTAGAATTCTATTGTTCAAAGCTTGTAAAGTTTTATAAGAATTTTTACAAAATTGCATACTTTGTGTGCTTGTGGTTTAAATAATAATGATGTTACTGTGAATTTATTCTTCTATCTGTATACAAACTTCTACATTCTTGAATGAAGTTTGTTTACAGATAGAAGAATAGATTTCTAGATTATAGTTCCTTCAGTAGTCCAGACTAGCTAGGCTGTTAAATCATGTTTTATGAAATAGTTTAATAACATGAGACAATTTTTAAATAAAATTTTCTTTTTTATGTTAATGATCAGTTGTACTCTAGTGACCAATGAAGGCATTTGCCTGTACTTAAAAAAGAATACTAATCTATAAAGCAAGTTCTTGATGACTACATAATCAAGCACAGATCACTAGATACTACTTGAAAATTCTCTATTTGCTATATTATTTTCCAATAAAAGGAGCAGGAATAATGATGAGAGAAGAACGAGGACTCCAAGACACTGTACATTAGGAAGACCACACAATTACACCATTCACAGAAATGTTGCACAGGTTGGTCCTCTAGAGGCCATTATGAATTGAATGATGCAGCGTAATTTTAGACTGGATAACTACACAGACTATAAAAACTGATTCTTCCTTCAGTTGCTGCATCTGTTTTATTGTAGCTGAAACACAGCATGCATTCAAAACATTCTTAAATGCAAGTATTTAATACTACAATATGTATAGGATTGGAATCTACTACTATTAAGTTTTTAGTAAAGATATCACATTTTCACCCAAAGATAAAAATCTCATTAAAAAACATAATAGTTAGTAAGAATTTATATTTACTACCAATTAGGAAATACACTATTTTGGTGTGGGAAACCTGTCTATATTCTGTAAATCATGTTTTAAATAAACGCTGATTGGCCAGGCAGGAAGTATAGGCAGGTCAACCATACAGGAAGTAGAGGAGGGGCGAGGAGAACAGGAGTATTCTGGGAAAAAGGAAGCTCTTTCCACAGTTTAGCCCAGACCACTGAAGAAGCAGGATTTGACCTACCCCGCTGAGAAAGGTACCGAGTCATGTGGTTAACATACATAAGAATAATGCGTTAATATAACTTATAAGAGCTAGCAAGAAGCCTGAGCTAATGGACCAATCAGTTTATAACTTATGGAGATCTCTGTGTGATTTTCTTTGGGACCTAATGACTGTGGGAACCGGGCAGGACAAAACCCCCTATAAGCAGCCCCTCATGTTACACTATTTTTTTTTTAATTTTTCATTTAAATATTTCTAAACACACAATAAACAACTTGTATTATTATTCAGGGCATTTGTACTTCTCATTGTCTCAAGTATTAATAAGATTAGACATGATGGACATAATTTTAGTTGTACAACTATCTCCTTTTAAGTTAATGTTATTTTTTATATGGCATCATAATTGTATAACTTCACCATTACATTTATGAATAGAAGGGATCATTTGTGATTCTGTGATTATATTTCAGTAGCAAATAAGACTTACCTTAAAAAACGTCATGGTTGCACCATCCTCTACTGCTCCGTACTCTATCTTGGTTTGCTTAGCTAAATCGTCAGCAGAGTCAATAGGAGATTCCATGCGTTCCACAGTCAGAAAGGCGGCTAGGTTAGCAGTGTACGAAGAAATGATGATAAGAGTGAAAAACCACCAAATGCCTCCCACTATCCTGGTGGAGAGCGCTTTGGGCATGAGCTCAGAACCTAACAGAGAATGGGGGAAAGGTGAAACGAATACAGACAATTCGATCAGCTGTCAGATATGTTTGGTCACAGTGGAAGAACGGGATCACTGTGTAATAAAAGTTTAAGCCAAAGACTGACACACTGCTTCAGTATACAAGCAACAACATTTAGGAGAGCAGAGGCCAATTTTAGTACTGTGCCACTTCTGGAAACACCGTATCAAGTATTGTTACAGGAGACTGGCCTTACCTGAGATGGTTCCACGGGACAATTAAAACTTTAACATGTAAAACGTCTTAGAAAAGTAACATTAGAAGGGAGGACTATAATCTGCTCCAATTTATAAACTACATGCAAATTTGTTCCTGTTTTTACTATTTAAGCATTTTCCAGAACTAATCACTGAATGCAAATTCAGATCCATTTTCTTAATACATTTGTGAAAGTTTCTTTTCAATGACAGATAGCTCAAATATGTCTGCTTCATTATTTATATGAGATCTTAGACAAAGGGAAAAGAATCAGAATTTCACATTTACAATAGCAATGTTGTATGGTAATAAAATATTTAATTTACTCACATGCCTTATGAAGGTGTAAGGTATTAGGCCTGTGCTCATTTTAAAATAAAATAATAAATTATTTATTTGTGATTAAGCAAATATCTCCCATATGAAACTTAGCCTCCACTAAGGTAATTAAGTGAGTAAACAAACACAAATTTACCTCTACACATATGTAATATTATATAAAAATGTCACATTTCAATGGCTGGAGTTGCCTGCCCATGATATTACTGAGAATGGGATCAAAGAAAAATATTTTAGTGTTCATTATTGTTAATTTTAAATTATCTAGTTTATAAAGGAAATTGTTAAAATGTAAAATCTTGTCTCATTTAAATTTTAATTAATTGCATCTTTATATCAGAATGTGGTATTCTTGTTTAGAGTATATACTAAAGTCATCAATATATAAAATATAGATAATCCACTTTTATTCATTTTGAATCTAAAATAAAATGGCAAGACTATGAAGTAGCTAATATTTTATAGAGTTTGAGTAAAATGCAACGAAGTAAAGATGGACTCATTTTGCTGATGTGTTTTATAGTCTTATCTTCAATGTAATTACCTGTGCAGCGAGGAAGCACTATTTAATAGGTAATGAAAACAAATTATTCATGCTAACATCGAACACATGTGATGGCATGAGCATCCTATATGAAGTGACCCATCTTACACTTCTGTCCATCTTACCCTAGCAACTTCGAATATACAAAATCTTAAAAGCAGACAGACTTGGACATGACAGCCAACTCCAGCTCCAGACTCTTGTCTACCACTCTGTAAGGGAAGAAAAGCAAAGCCAAACAAAGCAAACAAAACGAAAGAGAATGGTACCTTTCTGGTGTAGTTGCTCCTATGCCCTGCCAGACACACACTTGGACACTGAAACATTAGCACGCCCAAGACAACCAGCAGCTTTGACTGCATGTTTTACTGCTTGTTTATTAAAAAACAAAAACAAAAACCAATAAAGTCAAAAGAGACTGGGAGATAAAAGCATAGTGGATGGAGACATTTGACAAAACTGTCCCAATTACCACAAGTTTGTATCTTACCCACAGACTGAAATTCGCCAGACACCTTCTAGGCTTGTGAATCAGAGCCTGGTTAGGGGCTGACTGTCATGTACTCAAGGCAACGTCATGTCCAACACTATATCCCACTAATTCCTGGGGATCAGGGCATCAGCCAGATAGGATGGGTTCCTCTTTCATGTATCCACCAGCCGAGAGGTGAGGACATGGCCAAGCGAAGGGATTTCTGAATTTCCTATTGTTTTGGCAACTTATCTTTAGAGACAGGGCAAATATACTTATTTTTAATTGCTACCACTAATAATTATGTTCATTTTGGAAATGGACCACCTCTCAAAGATTTCCAAAATTTTAGGAAGTATAAATTAAAATAAAGACTATTTTAGTTTTCATATTGGTATCAAAATTTTAAAAGAACCATGCTGTGTTGGTCTGAAGTTGATTGTGAGGATTAGTTGCTGCAAACACCTAAGGTTAGCTGTTAGCAGGCTGCCTACATAGATAATGCTACTCCACTCCACAACTAACAACACCGAGAGCACTCCAGGTTGTCAGCCTAATAATGAGGAAAGACACCCTTACCTTGGACCCTAAATGACGGAAAGGGAAATACAACTTTTGACTTTCCATTAGTATTATTTAGAAAGAGATGCCACACATGGAGACCAATTCATAAATACATTCATAACTTTGCAGGGAAAGGGCTATTTCAATTAGTAGGACTTTCCTATAATATGTATTAGTATTATTTATGGGCAAGTTAACAGTATTTTCTTTTAAGAAATATTCTCAGTTTAGGAAACAGAATATAAATGGAATAGTTGTGACTTGATGGGTTTATACAGAATATTAAGCATGCAATGTCATGTTCCTTTTTAAACTAATTAAACAGTAAGTAATCACTTTCCATATCTTAATGCAATCATTAAATGAGTTTCCTCAAAGTGAATACTAAATACATAAAATACATTTTTCTTCTTATTTCACTTATTGCCAATTGCTAAAACTTTTGATATTTTGTTCTATTTAGTAACTGTAAACTTAAAAATACACTTTCAATATATAATATAGTCTTGGCCAAAATATCATTTTATCGTAATATGTATTTCTGAAAATTTTTGGAATTTTATTTAACTATCATAATATTAACAAAATAAACCACACCATAAAAAATAAAAATTCTACCTGGAAATGCCAATAATGAATAAATAATACAACCATATAGACATATTATTACATGTACTCTATCATTTTGTAATCTATAGATTTTACTTTTAACCTTTATATTATTAATTTTAAATAATTTAATAAATATTATATTCTGCATTCACTACTAGGCATGCAATATTTTATATTCTTATAAGTTATTAAGTATAGCTATTATTTTATCTTATACATAACTTTCAATGGATTAATATTTAAATTTACAAGTTTATATGCAATCAATTTAGTAATCATGCAATGAAAGAGGATAATATTTTACATCAAATTGAGACAGGAAACAGGAAATGTAGAATGGATTCTTGCCTCAAGGAGATGTAATTTTAGTATTGCTTTCAGTGCAGCTTCTGACTAATGAATCAGGTTAGCTTGCTTATCTATGGAGTAATGTACCTGCTGTTGGTTAATAAAAAATATTAGATGATTATATTCTATGTGGATTTGCAGAGCTGTTTTCTCAGACTCTCTCTCAAATGGGATTTGAGAAGGCCTAAATGCATTAAATAGATGGAGAAGCTGGATTATGGTTACATGCACAGAGGCTACCCATGCAAGCGACTTGTGCCAGCGAGAGCTGTCACCCCCAGCAAAGAGTGGGATATGGTGCCCAAGGGAAATAGCAGGCTGAATCGTATACCTTGCTGCATGAGAGCTCCAACTCCAAACCAGAAACTATTTAGCAAGGTAAAATTGTTTTCCACCACGTCTGAGTCAGGATTGCAAGGGTGTGGATTATACCACTCATAGGGACTAAACCTGTGGTAATTGACAGAAAAAAGAATATATTTAAACAGCAGTGAGAAGATTCTATCCAACATTCTTGCTGCAAGAGAAACAAAAGAAAATATGTAAGATTAAATAAAGCCAGAAATAAGGCATTTTTTATCATCACAAGATTTCATATGTATGACAACAGTGTGATTTTAAATATCCCATGCTTTATAGTTCATTTCCATACTATTATACGAAGTGGTATTCTTCACTATATTTTAATTATAAGAAAGTCTGCATAAGAATACTTTAATATAGACTTCCATATATACGCACTGTCTTGAAATCATTTTTAAAGCCTAGAAAATCATCAAAGATTTAAAAATTGCTATAAAAATGAGCATTTTAAAGACTGTAATAATTGCAAGAGGAGAAAAACATAAAAACATGTTATTATTATCATAGACACCACCAAGCTGACAGACATTGAAATAATCAATGAATATTTAAGTATGTAAGGAACAGTATTGTGCATTCACGGTTTTGAGAAATGAACTCAACTCTGACCTTCAAAGCCAGAAACGCCCACATTTTCATGACTTGGCATGCCTGTAGATGTCCGCTCACATCCCAATATACATCATGTCAGTGAATATTAGAAATAGGAGGGCATATTGAGGTTGCCTATTTTCTAATTATGTATTTGCAAATTTGTAACTCATTTGAATCATTGTTTTGAAAGCACAGCACATTTTTGTCTTAAGACCAATTACTAATGATTTTATATATTATTATTATTCCTAATTATCCAATAGTTAATACTTAACTTTCAAAAAGTGTCATCTTTATACCTAAATTGATTCATGCTAATTATAATCCAAATACAGTCACCAATTGAGAGACTATCCAAAACATCATCCACATAATTAAATGCATTTCCTTAGTTATTAGCTAGCAAAATATTTTCCTCAATATCTCAAATATTAAAGCCACTCTTTTATAAACTAAATTTATATATGTGTCTTTTAGGAATGTATTTTACAAACCTGACTTTTAATCAAAGTTGTTCGGATAATGCATTTGTCATGTCAGAGAGCCTAATTTTCTTCACAATAATCTTCTGACATTAAAATTCAAAACATCAAATGAGGCATTTTTATCTTGCGATTTAGTTTTAGAACATTCTTGTTTTAATAGTTTCTGCTTGAAAAACAAAGAAGTGTTTTATTTGGTTCTCTAAGTTGAACTGACACACTGAACAGAAAGTTTGATTGAACAGTAATTAAACATTCTGAAGAGATTTGCTGAGTGTTTCTCTGAAATAGAACTGGTTTAAGTGGTAGACATCGATTTTATTTAAATCCTATTATTTATTTTAAATGAAGGAGAAGAATCTGTGCTATCTAAAACATATATATGATTGCCAGAATATTGACAATCATCTTTATATAAATTTTAAATCTTTAAAAATATTACCATTGTAATGGTAATTGAAAACCTCATTTCATATGAGAGGCAGTATGATCTTTTGAATAGAAAAGGGCTCTGCAACTACAAGACATATTTTCACATCTTATAACCAAATACCCAATTTCTATACTTTAAAAATTAAAATTAATAGGAAGACTTTATTCCCCAGAATGTTAAAAGGAACATTAGCATTATTGTAGTAGGAATTTCTCAGCAATTCGGTATAATAAAAGCATTAAACAAATACTATTGAATATTATGTTTTCACCTAAGCTGCATTTTAATTGACATTTAAATGTTGAAGATTAAAGTATTCCTTTCCTATTCTTGAAAGTCTGCAAACTATAAACATAAAGCTGATTTGTGGAGTTAGATTTATTGTTTACAAATTGGAGATCTTAGAAACATAACCGCAGATCATCACAAAACTGTCCGTGTAAAATAACTAAGTTCTTGAAATTTGAAAGCTATGAACTTGACAGAGACAAATCTAGGGATGGTATAAGTTCTATGAAAAGAGATGATGTGGTAAGGTCAGAGAGGTGGAAGCATAAATATAAAGGGCCCTGCTTTCCCTTTCCCATAGATTGAAGTTAGGTGGAAGGAAGGAAATAATGAGAGGGCGAGGAGTGAGTCACAGAAAGAAGAACAGAAGGAAAAGAGGAAATAGGAAGGGAGGAAGGCCCCAGCACTGCCTCTGAGCATCTCCTCCATGATGAAGGAGTCTCATAAGTTAAACTGAAGAGAGTAATAGATGTAGGATAAACACACACTTTAAGTAAAATACTGTACACATTTCACAAGATTATTTTCTGCTTAAAAAAAAAACAATGTGGACTACATGCCTGAAGGATGCAAACCTACATGATCCCTGTGCCTGCAGACATATGGACATCTAGCAGGAATGCTTAAGTCACCGGTTCCCTTTCACATCGTGCTTCCAGGGAACACTTGCCCCTCACAGACTCCACTGATTTCCATATCTGTTTTGTTTCCTTCACATTTGTCAGCAGCTCCAATCCTGGTTCTAGTTAATTTTTTCTACGTTAAATTTCTTCTGTCTTCCACTTACCTCTGTCCTCTCTACTGCCTACAAATTTTGCTTCAATTAATATTTATATATCCCTCCCAATTCCTTCAGACTCATAATCAAATCATGATTTGCCTCCAGATTTACATTTCTACACATAGAATTATTTAGTTGCTTAATTGTTCATATTTAATACTTGATATAAAGTGGGTTTTCAAAAATTCAACATTGTGCTTGACAATAATGAGATGACCAATATTAACTCATGGTGATCATCCCACCCTTCCCGTTGAATATCCACTCAATCTCCATTGGTAGCATCACTTCATGACATCTTTAGAGGAAGAGCATGCTACTAACCCTTTGCTCACTAAAGGTCAACATGCTTTGTGTCATCTTCCTTTCTTTACCTTCCATTCCAACTACATTATAACCTAGAGACAGTTGTCAGTACATTACCACACCTATGGTTCTCCGTCTGTTCTTGACCATTGCTTTAGTGCGCTACACTGGCTAAGGATACCATAATGTGCAGCAATATGTTTATATGGAGACTACGCTTGTTTGTCTGAAATGAGTTCTTCCTCTCTAAATATTATTCCTATTCAGTTTTAAAGTAGAATAATTCTGGAGCCATCACAGCTATGTGTAAGAAAAGTCTTCAGTAATGCTCATATTCTTCGTTTAAAAAAAAATGAGGGTCTGTAGAAATAAAATTCAACACTGCTTGTACCATGTTCCAAAATAGCATTCCAGAATTAACTGCCTATTTTGCCTTGCAAACTGTGATCTCCTGCATCTTGGGCTACTGACTCCTTAAAAGTAAAAACCTTATTTAAAAGCAAAACCCTCCTGTTTATTCTTGTCAATTCTTCTTCCCTCGTGCCATCTATCCTGTCATTCTCATAGCCGTTCACAGCTGTTCACACCCTGAACGCTTCTTCAAGTGCCACTGCTTAGGTATAGCTTTCCTGATTCTCTCTTCCGTGGAGGACTATGATGATAAAGACTGGTGACTCACTCTCATTTTCCACCTCCAGTCCTGAAAAAAAAAATTGAATAATGCTACCTAACTGCAGTTCTATTTCCTGTCTTTTCTGCAATGCAACTCATTTGAGTTTTGAATATGGACAGAATATATCTTAATATTTAGCTTAAGAATTTTGTCGCAAATTCTTTTTCCTCATTTAATTAGGAAAATTGAGGAGTAGAACAGTATTGGATGTTTCATGATGAGGATAACAGTCGCCATATCAGGATTTCAATGAATGAGAAAGCATTCATAGTTTTTAGATTCTGAGTTTGGGCTTTATCCATTAGAGAGCTTTACAAACAGCTATTTTCTCTTCTATACCACTAAGAACAACAGGCCATAATTAATTATTTCAATATAAATCAATGCACATGTCACCTTTCAAAAATACATTCATTGTAAAGTAATGCATGACATACCATGTCTGGTTTAGCTTTGTGTATTTAGAATTTCTAAAACAAGTTTTTAAGCATTTGAATAATTTCAGAAACTCTGTTCTTCCACTTTATTTTGCATTTGTGTCTAAGCCAATCCTCTCACCTGTGAACAGTCCTGCTTATCTATAGCTGTTTTCTCCTCAACCCTAAGAGTCTGTCTCTGAAATCTTAGTTATCATGTTTTTATTCAAGCCCACTTTTGATTATTTTAAGTTCTAACAACATTACTGGTAACACTGTATCCTCTTTTACTTACTGGCTGCTTCTTTCTTCTTACCCTCCTTCCCATTGCTTAAGGCTTGGTCAATTCTCAGATCCCCATTCTGTCTCTAATCACCTAATGGTGTCACAGCTTTTAAATACTATGCTAGCGATTTCAAAACTCTCAACTTGAAGCCATAGGTTCTCTCTGTGTGTACTCTATTTAATCTTCTGATCACTGCCTAGAAGGCTACCGCTACTTCATACTGAAAGTGTTTAAAATAAACTCAGGGATCCTATCACATTTTTTCTTTTCTGTCATTTTTTTCCAACTTAAACAGACTCACCATTTTACACGTTCTTAAGACAAAGTTTATTTCCATTTTTTTTTTTTTTGCTCTCTTTCCTTCTTAACTCTAAGCTACACTCGAGGCTTATTCATGTTTTGTGAACTGCTTCCACAGTTCCACAGCTGACTCCATCAGCTTTCCTTGCACTTTGCTCTTATTCTCAAATCATGGAATTCTATAAAGGAGACGTCACTTGTTTCTTATGTTGGACATGTCGAACATTTTATTTTGTATATTGATCCTCATACTAAGCTATTAGTCATTCCACTTCTCCCTTTTAAAACCAGCCAGTTTCTACCGTCCACTGTGTATATAGAACAATACATTTTATCATTTACTTGAACTTTGATTTCAACATTCACTTAAGAACTTTTTCATATTAAAAGTGAAATTATTTTACACTTAATGGAATGTACAAAACTGTTTTATAACATTCCATATTAGTTGAAACCAAGTCTTACTTCCACACATTAAAATACCTTTTTCCTACAGTATCTTTAAGCTGAAATGTCTACCCTATTTTA